GAAGACTAGAAAATTCTATATACTTTATACTCGTATACTAGTAAACTACTAAGAAAAAAATGGAAAAATATAAATACCTGTTATCCATTTAAACAGGTTTGCTTCCAAAAATATACTTATATCCTACTTACATATATTACAATACTTAAGTATAAACATACTAGTATTACTTCAGTTAAATTGTATTTTTGCTGGGAAAGTTTTGGGGTAGTTCTAATTTTTTTCATTCCATATGTTTTTTGAGGTGCTTAATCCAAATCTGGGGTTTGCGGACAAAATTTTGTGACGCAACATTAAAAAAAAACAGAATAAACCATTTCTTTTCTTCTTTTTTCGGGTTTTTTGCTTAAAACTCGAAAACTACCAACTTTTGGTAAATGGTCTGTTTACAGAAATTAAAGTACTTGAAATTTTCTACAAATACCAGTATTTAGTTTTTTTTTCAGACGAATCGTTTGGTTTCTAGTGCGAGTTGAAAATTGTAAATTTTTAGCATTTTATGGCAAAACCCACTTTTGTCATTTCAATATTTAATTTTTATGGATTCTGTCATTTGATAAATGTCACCTAGTTTTCCACACAAGTAATTAAAAAGAAAAAAGTGAAAAATTATGCAAATTCAGTAGGTAGGTAGAACTCGTAACAAAATAAAACTTAAAATCTCGTTACTTATGATCATATTATATTATTATGATTATAAATTATAATAGGTATGCAAAATTTATATGAGCCGTTGTCTTTTGGAAGGCCCTGGCTGAGGTTCTTCGATAACCATGAGTCCTGGTTCTGCTTGTTCTGGAAAATAAAAGTTTAAAGTTAAGTCATTTATCAAGAAGAGATGAAGAGTGCAAAATAGATTGTGAGATTAAACATACCTTCCGCATCGTAGTGAGGTTCTTCGATGGCATCGGGTCCTGGCTTAGGATCTGATTGCTCCATCCGCGTCGGGAGTCATTCTCATGTAAAATAAAAAGAGGAGAGACACATAACATATATCAAGGAGAGATAAATGACTACAAAATAACTTGTCAGATCCAACATACATCTCCCTCTTTCTTTAGTTTCTTCTACGTCTATGTCAGAGCTGTCTTCTGGGGGCTCAACATTGTTACACAGTCCTTCGCATGATGCGCATATTGGGGAACAATGGAGTCCCGCCTTCTTGCATCCACAATTGCTTTGACAGCCCTGTTTACATTTAAATGAAATGTACCGGAGTATTGAGTTTGGTGCAGGGTCCAAAGTAGTTGGTACTGGCATAAGACCACTACTAGTTTTTTGCCATCCCCACTCACTTGGGTCTTTTGTTGCTCGTTAGGTGTGGCTTGACCGGATAACCACTGCTGCACCTGATAATAAACTCTCAGTGAATGTTCTCGTGCAGCAGCTTCAGTTAGGGGCAATGAGGAAATGTTGGTCTTATTTTTGAATGATCAAGATACGTATTGTTTGTATCTTAAATCGTTTAGTTTTGTCTCTTTTTTCCATATAGAGCCGTGAGAAACATGTTTCCTGCTGTGGCAATCTCATCTTGACTTGAATTAGGGTATTTGAAAGATTCAATTACCGATTGCAAATCTTTGTTCTTCTGCAGGACTTTAAAAAATTTCAGTTTCCCTTGGTTAAAAAATGCAGAAGTAGTATCACAACCACTCATCGCATGTAGGAATAAAATATGATCCAATAGGATTTTCTCAGCAGACAGATGAGGGTTGTAGAGGCTTTGCGAAACCTTTCCTTTTGCTGGCTTCAAAAAATTACATTTTTTATATCAAAGCCACAAAGGCCAATCAAAATGACCAGTAGGTTGATATCTTCTCCCACCACTGTCACATGTTCATTTGACGGGGCCATCTCAAGAGCTGTTGAGATAATTAGGAATCAGCATCTTCCACAGCTTGCTTTGAATGAATTTTTGCATTATGAAGTTTCTCCATTAACATAGATATAAACCGGCTCTTGTTTTTTGTGTTTACAAGAAAACTATTCTGCGACACAGTGGGCACCATCATTTGCACTTGAGACCGAACGGTTCGTCTGTACAATAACAAAAAAGTTAACAGTTTTCGAGTTTTAAGCAAAAAACCGGAAAAAGCCAAAAAAAAACGAATTTTTCTGGTGTTTTAAATGTTGCGTCACGAAATTTTATCAGCAAACCTCAGATTCAGATTTAGCACCCCAAAACACATATGGAATGAAAAACTCAGAACTTCAAAACTTTCCTACTAGTATCACTTTACAGTACAAATTTACTGAATCATATTTCTACTTTTAACTTTCTTTTTCATTTAAAAAAATAAATAATAAAATATTACAGCTTTTATTTTTAACAAACTTACAGTTTAAACTGAAAACGCAACTTGCAACTGGTTATGTGGCTATTAGTTATTCCACGAATATACGACTGTTTTGGATTATTGCTACAATGAATATTTTACTGTGCTAGTAAAAGTATGAAAGTAAATTGATCTAATTATTATTCCAATAAAAAGGATCTTCTGTTACTATGACATCTAAACTAAAATTATTTCAGTTAATAGATGTTGTGATAGACGCAAAATTCATTGTGAAAATGATTCTGAAAATAACAAAAATTTTACGCAAATGCTCCTACAAATAAATACTATGACGTCTATGAAGCTAAAAATGTGTTCATCAGCCATTTGGGTGGGATTTCGGTGAAATGTAAAACCAAAGAGGCGTGCCGGGTTTCTTTGATATTACACTATTTTATTACTTCTTTAGGTACTGCAACGGTAATAAGAAGAAATATACTATTTTTAATATTAATGAAAAGAAATTGGCAAAAACCAACTTATTTACAATACTAAACTCAATGATACAAATTATATACTTCAAAATCTGAATTACAACTATTCTATAAACTATCAATTGTATATTTAGATCGTGACTTCATATTTAAATCTAAGGTTTATTTCTGTCATATAATAGTATTTTAAAAAAATGGAGAATTTACCATTGTACAATTTAGTCCATTGGACCATTTAAATCGATATCTTAAAGCGAATTTAAAACAGTCGTATATTCGTGGAATGGAGTATATATATTTGGTATAGCGGAGTATTTAAAAAAATTAAGGGAAATTAAAATGCATCTATCAAAATGACAGAATTTATACCCAAATGGAAAAAATAAAGGGCGCTACCTAGTTGTTGAGGGACGAGGAAAACTCGACACTAAACTATATGAAGAAGATTGGCTTAAGGAGTATTAAAAAATAGGCTAAACTTCTAAAAAAGCAATTTGTATGAATAGTCAAAAAAAGCACACTTACCTTTTAATATCTCTCTATTTTTGTATCAGGTTTACTTAGTTACCAGAAGAAAAAAAGATTATAGGAGAGCATTGAACAAATAATGGCTACCAATTAACAATTTTTATTTCTCAAAAGTTCAGCCAGATAACCGTACGATTGAATGTTAACAAATGTACTATGGTTATTATTACAATAAAGTAAAGTTAGTTTGTTTCACGAAAAATGGTTGAGTGCTTAATGGTTAAAGTTTGTTCCACGAAAAATGGTCGAGTGGTTATCTGAGTTGATCCTATTGTGTATACAAGAGTCTCTCAATAAACTAACGAAGTACACAGGGTCGCAAAGGTTGGTATTTAATATATTTCATTGGTAGCTGTGTAATACACGTTTATAAAAATTTATTAAATTATTTCATATGGTAATTTCAGGTTATTCAAGTGAATATACTTGATAATTGAACAATTTTTAACATGAAGAAAGTAGTTTTTTGTTCTACGTGAATAGTTTTAGTATATTGATCTAAATTCAGAAAGGTACTTTCCTTCACACTTTTTACAGGCTTAGGACTGTCAGCAAAAAACTGGCGTGTTTAAAAGTTTTTGCTCTTCCTAATCGGATATCATTAAAAATGTACAGTAACAATAGTTCTATTTACAGTATATACATACAAACGAATACATAATGTACAGAAAATGGATGAATTGAAAAAAAAAATATAGAAAAATATATACAAGTTAATATTTACAAAAAAAATACCCAAAATAACCAAAATATATTTATGAATTCCTAAATACCTAATTCTGTTTCGCTGTCGCTATACTCTTCAAGATTAATAACAATTGGTTTAATTATGTGATTGAATGTAACATATGAATTTTCTACGTTCATTACATGGTGTACTGAATTTTTACAACTTTCTGGGGAGATATCGTCAACACATTTCCCTTTAAAATCGACTACACTACCACTTAAAGTCGGAAAAACATTTTGTGACCTAACATTTGACTTTAGTTGGTGCCACATAATATGCATATTAGTATATTATGCTCTATGGGATTAAATAAACAATAGTAGGGCGGAAGCCGTATCAATGCATGTCCCATGTTCTCGGCCAATGCGTCACAAACATATCGACGCTTGAAAGGTAAAACAGCTAATACGCCAATTGTGAATTTTACAGTAGAACCGTTTAAAGTTTGAAATTTTGAAAAAAAATTATAATTTTTGTTGTAAGCATACTATCTTGACAAATCTTAGGAAAATAAATGTTATATAGTAGAATCCTTTTATGCTATAAATTTCTAAAAGAAATATTATCTAGTTTTAAAATTAATGGCGCATTATACAAAGTGATTCTTGAATGCAAACAGGAGAAATGTATTATAAACATGATGCATTACATAACCAGGTAACTGAAAACGGCTAATTTACCAAATATGAGTAACTTTGTGAGAAGGTGAAATGTTTTATAATGTATTTATGTTATGAGATGCATGCTATTAGAAGTGTCTTTTGTGAAAATTACAAGAATATAAGTCATTCTCGGTTTAAATTCTAATATTATTGTATTATATTTATTGCATCATTATTAGATATTCTAGACATTTTACATCAAAAGACGAACAGAAATAGTTCAAGTTAATGGAAAATACTTTATTACTATGAAAAAAAAAAGGTTTTTTGAGGTTTTTTGACAAAAACAATAAAAAACACATCAGCAATATTAAAGTTGAAGTCCATCTTCTTCGTCAGTTTCTGGAAGGACATCATTTACACTATTACCTCTAGGTAGATTTAAATATTCATTATGATATTGCAAGGGTATTACATTCGAGTGGCACAATTTATTCAGATCGTTATATTTTTGTTTGGAAATTGACAAAGATGTTGAATATAAGTTGCAATTTGGTGGATTCTTTACTTTACCGCTGATTTGTATGATCTCCTCTTGAGCATCTGAAGCCATTGAAAACTTTGCATACATCTTAGTTGGTTCAGACTTCTTGAATGTAGCCACTCTTATTTTACTTATTTTTCCTGCAAGATTTCCTTTAAAATATTTGTCTGATATGTCATCCCATGAAATGAAACCTTTTGAAACATGGGGTGAACTGCATAAGGTTCAGGAATGTTACGAGCTAATTCAAAAACAGTTGGCCATTGTGAAGGTGACCAAATAATATGCTTAGCTACGCTTTTTTCTATGACATAATGCATACTGTCAACTGACATGTAGGAGTGACCTGGCAGAAGATAATTAATCTGGATCACATTTATATTTTTGCAGGACATCAAGTTGTAGTGGAGAGAGGCCAAAACAGTACGGTTCTTATTTTGACCTGGGCATGAGTCACAATAAAGCAGTAGTTTCGTGATTTTCCCACGGTCATCAATTTTTTTCATGAACGATACTAGACATGTGGCTATTTCGTTAGCTCCTCTCTTTCCTTGGCTTTCATTCCAATAATAGCAGTGGCCTTTCCTTGTTGTACTTTCATAGAAAGTAAAGTTATACAGTGCCAATTTTCTGGAGTAATAAAGTAACATACTTTCTCCGTACGGTGTATTTAAAACTTTCTGTAAGTCGAAGGAGACACACAAGATACTTCTATTTTTCTCATGAATTTTTTGGTGATATTCAAATCTCTTCTTACTTTCAACTTTTTCTTTATCATGTTCTTGCTTTTCTACTTCAGTTTCCGGTCTAGGGTTGTTTTCGAAACCAACACACTTGACACATTTGTCTTTCTTGGGAATATGAATTCCGATATTGAATTCGTTCGTAAATATTTTTCTAAATAACCTCTCTGACACAACATCTATACCTGTTTCTATTTCTCTTTTCTTATATAGATTATAAAGATTTGTAATATTCTTAAACTCACTGGGCAAATAAAGTTTGGTGGAGTCTTTTCTTGCATATTGTGACGGCACTGCTGGCAAACTTGTAATGAAGTTTCTTACAAAGTTCAATACTTCTTCTTTTGTTTTATTCGGAGGGATAGTTTTTCCTCGCATATCCTCTTTTCCCAAACCATAACAAGCATTAGAGAGTGTGTAATAAACATATCTTTGTGATACATTTAAAGTAGATAATAAAAACTTCAGACAAACTTGACGTTGTCCTTCACCTTCATTAATACAATATAGAAATGTATTGGACTTTCTGCTTTCATGTTTTACTCTCTTTCTCTTAACAGATTCTTTCTTTGACATCGAAACAAGCCAATCGCGACGTCGTTGTGGAGATAGTGACCAAAAGTAATTAAATATATTCAATCTTCTTTTTTCAGATATATCGTCATAGCGATTAGTGCATTTCTTTGGTTGACATGGATTTGGTCCTATTTCTTTTGGTGGAACTTCTATGCCATTTTTCTTCTTATATTGTTTGCCACTTCGATATAGTTGTTGCCTTTCGCTCGCTTTATTAGGCCGATTTTTCTTATATGCTGATTCTCCCACTGTTCCATTTTCAGCAGCAACCGCTTTTGTTTTCTTCTTTTTCCTTTTCAATTTCTTTTTGGCTGCTGTTTCCTCTGTACTATCTTCTTCCTCAGACGAACCTTCCCAAGAAATTGAATCGCAGTCGTACTCTAAAATTCTTTCTTCTTCATCTAAGAAGTCTGTATAGGCCGATTGCAAAACCATTTTACGGCTACGAAAGTTAACTACCTTGCTAGGTCCAGATGTGGTATCATCAGCTGAAACGTCTCCGGCATTACCACTATACAAGTCTATACCCACGGTTTCTTCAAGAACTGGTGAATTTTGAACATCTTGTACCAATCTTTGATTTGTATTGAAGTAATTTTGCTGGTCAACTGGGGTGTCAATATCCAAACATTGATTATTATTTGAGTGGATCTGCATTTCTTGGGAAACTATTGGTAAACATTCATCAGTCAATAGTGAATTTTCAGGAAAAACTTCAGACACAATAGCAGGAGCAACTAATGCAGATGCATTGTTTTGAATTGGTTGTAAATCTGTATAAATTGGCGACGCCTGATAAATAAGTTCAGAGGAACAATCAGGTACAGGTTGGCTTTGTTCTAAATAATCCATAGAAGTGCGGCTGCAAGTATTTAAATTATGTTGTTTAATCACATTTAAAGAACCAGCAGCGTGATATAAACCCGTGATCTTTTCTGGATGTAGTTCATAATTTATTACTGATTTGGTGGGGGACATTGGTGCACTAATTTTAGATAATTAGAACCCTGACTGCAAGATTTCGACTCTAAAGGCCTTTCAGCATTTTGAGCAAGTACATCAGTGGCCTGGATTACCTTTGTGGATGAAGAACAGCTTGTTTGAAGATCTATAATGTTCTTTCTGTTTTGAACTATTTTCATAATACGATCTGCTCGCGACATTTTTATCTGCAAAAAAAATTCTTTGAAAGTAAAAACAACCTTCTTTAAGTTATTATATTTTTTCAAAATGACAATATTTCTAAAATAAATGTTCGATACTAAATTTGAATACTATCTGTAAATGAATATTACTGTTTTTTTATTCTTAATATAAATTAGTACTGTCACAAATTTCACTTTTAGTAACAAAAATTCAGAGGATTGGCTCTGAACAGAGTAATGACAAGAAACAAATAAATTATAAAGCATTTTTATATCTTTTATGACACTCTCAAATTTAGCTGCCGTAAATCTTTCAATATTTTAAACTTTAGTATGAGTATACTATGTATAAAAATTAAATGTTTTTATTGCCAAGACTGAAATTCTCTTGAGCACCAAATAAGGAAGAAATGTGTCTAAGAGATTTATAATAAAACATTTCCCATTTGCCGCGAACATTTTGGCTCACATTGTGTACCTACCATAAAATAGAGTTTCTGTAGGTGAAGTATGAATTGAAACAATTGTTATTTACTTATCAGACTTATGTTATTAATATTTTATTAGTGTTTTTTGCAAAATATTAATAAACCATGCCTTTACTTCTGTGTTGAGGTTATGTTTGAAATTTTAAAAATAATAAGTATAATAGGATTAATAATAAAAATCTAACTACAGAATATTTATAATTTAAAACGAAACACTTACCTTCATGAACGAAAAGAATGTATTTATTACACCATACATAAACTGACAGAAAAATTAGTTGTTTACAAGCCGAATAATGCAAGACTGGCCAAAAGTATCCGTTAGAACGTTAACATTGCATATTTTGTATCATGAAAACAAAGTGTAAATTGTTTAAAATGCCTTTTATCTTTGGAAGGACCGTCTTCGAAGTAGATAATGTAGCACGTGTGATATTATTTTAAACGGATAAAATGTATAATACGCCATCTGTACCCGTAACTGCCGTAAACAAAATTGTTTTAAGCACCACTATGCAATATATATTCTGCCATATGAAATGACTAACACGGCTTCAAGGCTCTAATATCTGAAAGTAAAATTGACTTATTTGCTAGAAGTAAACTTGTTAGGTGTGTTATACGACAGATAATATATTTTTGTATTAAAATTTGGAGCATAAGACACAGTTGCTTTCAAAACCATCCTAAAAATAAAATGTTTAATACGCCAAAAAAGTAGTTCAAACATCCTAAATTCCCTTTGTACATACATAGAAAAATTCACTGAATCTTATCGTGTATAAAGTCTATTTTGCAAAAAGTGGCGTATTATACATTTTACCTTTCAAGCGTCGATATAATTTTTTAATAGAAAATGATTTTAACACTTTCAACAGTTCATTTTTTAAATAACTTTCTTCAAAATATATATCGTTTTATAACAGGTAGTTTTGAATTTCAATGTTCGTGTTACTTGCACTTGAAGACTTATGTAATTGACAACTGTGGTAACTTGCATTCTTCATTACTTTTACACTATTTTGGGGAAGATTAGGTATAAGACAATTCTTAAACCATTGCTCAAAAAGCTCTGCCGTTGTATCCTCATAGTAGTCCACGCAGGAGTCTTTAATGTTCTTTGCAGAAATCCATAAGGCATTTGGGACTCAACCATTTTCAGATTCTGCATCTAAATTGTTATTCTTTTCCCTTTGTTTAATGGAGCTTTTGTTTGACACCTGTTGGAAGTATCGGACCACCCTTTGGTGTTTCATGAGTGTCAAACCATGTCTCGTTCAGATAAATTATTGGTCTATCTTCTGTACAGACTTTTTTCTTTTGGAAATTATATATTCAGTACGCCACTTTTGTAAACGATAGGACTCCATAAGCACTTGTCTTTTGTCAATTGTACGATATCTAAAGCCCATTTTAGACAAAATCCTCCAAAGACTAATCCGGCTACAGTTTATTTGTGTATCACCATTAGTAAGCTGTTGTTTTAAAGCATCTAATATAGGTATCCATTGCTCTTCGTACATTGTGTAAATTTTTCGTCTTATTAAGTCCTTATCACTTTGGTCAATATATTTGGTAGAGCCGGCAAACTTACGCTTCCTTCTTGACTTAACGGGATTTGATGTAATTCTTTACACTGTGGTTAGAGGTATTTCCGTTAAATCAGATATTTCACTGGCAGTAGTATTAGCAGTAAGTTCTCTTGTAAGTGAATAACTATGTCTCTAGCGTCAGCAGATAAATGCTTTTTCTTTGCTGGAACACTGGAAGAAGCACCATCAATGTTTTTCCACGGACACCACATAATGCTGTTTTATAGGTATAAATAAGTATAACACTGATAAAACTTATAACACTTTCACCTAAATGAAACAAAATGTATATTTAAAAATTTCTCATGGGTTTTATGTATATATGTTTACAAATTATACAGAATAGAGGAAACCTGTATAATTATTCCGGGAATTTATTGTGGTCATTAAAAGATCAATCATTGATAGTGAAACTCACTGTTAAAATGTATACAACTTTATGAAATAAAATGTATTCTAATCGTTTTTATAATTTAATACGATTTTTTAATCGTTTTTATATTACCAGAAATTTATGATACAAACAAGATAACGACACTCTACAGTAGCTTTAATTTTACCTGAATACTTACCTGCTCAACTAATGTTGACTAAGCTGGAGTACTTTCGGTCGAGTTTTATTGCAATCCTTAAGCACTCAACCATTTTTCGTGAAATTAACTATACCATCTATCTTACGCTACTGGTTACAAAACAAATCATTTTCGAATTCCCTCATAAAAAGCTCGCTCTTTATTCCTGCTATCTAAGTAATTCTATAATAATCCTAAAGAAAATGGCAAAACATTAAAAACATAATACATCGATGAAGTAGTTTCTTGTTTAAAACCAATTTTTGTAAAGATGAGGACTGAGAGTTTTCATCAGCCCATCGACGAATCAATAATTAAGTTCAAAGAAAGATCTGCTTTGAAGCAAAATCTGTCTATGAAACCAGTAAAAAGAGGTATAAAAATGTGGCAACAAAGTGATTCTTTTACAGGATAAACTATACGATTTTAAGATTTACTCGAAAAAAGAATCCACACCAACTACTGCAACTCTAGAAGAACTAGTTGTTGAACCTGTAAATAACACCATATGGTCCACCAGATGTGTGTCTATGCTTTGAAAGATTTTTTACTTCGCTCAACGTACTAAATACCCTAAATTTTCCGTGTTTAGGAACCTATTTGGCCAATCGGGTAGACTAAGTCAAATTTAATAATTAATAATAAATTAATTTAATAACAAATAATTTAATAATTAATAATATTTAATAATAATTTAATATGTTTAAAAAAGCTAGAGAAGTAGCTGGTTTTTATCATAAGAAAACTCCACATACTATAACAGATTCGTCCAGAAAAATAAAACGAACATGAAAAATGAAAGGAAACGAACATGAAATTCGAACAACCTGCTGTAATTATATAAGTGAACTGTATAATGATGATAGACCCGAAGAACTGGAGACTTTAGTTGAAGGTGAAGGACCAGAAATACTATAATCAGAAATACTGCATGCTATAAAGTTAGCAAAGAACAAAAAATCCGTTGGACCTGATAACATACCGACAGAGATGTTAAAGCTTATAAATGAGGAGAACATTGGAATACTGGTCAAGCTTTTCAATGATGTTTATTCGACTGATGATATCCCTGAAGATTGGTTAAATTCCAAATTCATAACACTACCAAAAAAAAACAACATCCGAAAAACTGTAGCGATTATAGAATGATAAGCATTATGAGCCACACTTTAAAAATATTTCTACGCATCATCCACAGTAGAATCGGAGATAAATGTGAAGAAGACCAAGATGAAACACAATTTGTCTTCAGAAATGGACTGGGAACTCGGGACGCCCTCTTTGCACTAAATGTATTACTGCAGAAATGTAGAGATCAAAGGAAAGACGTATTTGCTGTATTTATTGACTATAAAAAGGCCTTTGGTCGAGTACAGCATCACAAATTAATTACAATATTAAAAGATAAAGGAGTTGATAGTCAAGACATACGATTTATAGAAAAGTTATACTGGCATCAAACAACGACAGCTTGCATAAACGGAAAATCAACAGAAATATGTAAAATATAAAGAATTGTCAGACAGGGTTGTATACTATCCCCACTGTTATTTAATTTATATTCAGATAGAATATTTAAAGAAGCGCTGCATAATTTGGAATGGGGCGTGAAAGTTAATGGAATTCTGATAAATACAATCCGATATGCAGACGATACAGTTATTTTACGTGATGACATAAATGAACTACAATGTCTTTTAAATGCCATTGATATAGTGGGAAGAGAGTTTGACCTAAACATAAACTGTTAAAAAACATGGTGTTTAGCCGTTTAGCACATCAAAATGCACGATTATATGTTGATGGTCATATAATTCAAAGAGTGTCCAGTTTTAATTATCTTGGTTGTCATATTACTAAACAACTAGATCCAGATCAAGAGATAAAATGTAGAATCGAGATAGACCGCACGACATTTTTAAAAATTAGGTCATTTTTCTGTAATAATAACTTGCAACTTCAACTTCAAAAGCGCATGGTTAAATGCTACATTTGGTCAGTCCTCTTATACGGTGTCGAAGCATGGACATTAAAAATATCCACCATTATCGTCTGGAGGCCTTTGAAATTTGGCTGAACATACTAAAAATTTCAAGGACGGCTATGCTGACAAATGTGGCAGTCCTTGAGAGAGCAAATGCTGCTTGCGAACTGCTTGATAACATCAAATGTAGAAAGATGGCCTATTTTGGACACGTAGTAAGGGGAGACCGATATAATATTCTTGAACTTATTATGATGGGTAAAATCGAAGGACGCATGGGAATTGGTAGAAAGCAGGCCTCTTGGTTGAAGAAGATCAGGGAATGGACAGGAATAAGGAAAGCTGAGCAACTCTTTAGAATAGCTCGAGACAGAGACAGTTTCGCCAT